ATTCTGCAAGGCGCATCTAAATCTAGATGGCTTCGGCGATGTAAAGGATAAATACTTCTTCGGAATCCCCTTTAATTTGAAGGACCTAGAAGGTAAGTGATTCACACTCAGGGTGTTCGTCTATAAAGTGAGCGACATCGTTTCTGATTTTTACCGTTAAGCCTTACACTCTGGTATGGGTTTCTGGAGAGCAATATGTATGAAACTTGCCTTTGAATTCCATATGTGATTGAGAACTTTACCTTAGACCCTAAATGCTGAAGGTAGGCTTAGGTGTATGTTACTTACTGCTTTAAATTAGACAGTACTGAACCAGAAATAGGCCGTGGTTTTAACCAACAGCAATTACCTTTCGCTGATGCAGCTCACGAAGGCATGAAACGACACGGTCAGCACTTGAAACACTGACCCCTCGGATTCGCTGAAATTCCCTGTTGTAAAAACATATCCGCTTCATTAAAGCATAAACTGATAGAAATTTGGATTGGTGTGCCGCTTACTCTTAACGGCAAATAAGACAGAAACGGTCGTTCCACTGCCCCTATCGCTGCCGGCAAAAACCTCCAGATTACAAAAAATTTGCTCTGTAGAATTCCCGACCTCATCTTTGCATGGCTTGTCCGGTATTCCCTGCACCAAACTTACCACATGGACAAAAAACAGATTCACGTGAATTGGGATGAAGGAAAGTTTTGCGTGTCGATTGTCGAGTTTTCTTCCTAACCGTGATCTATTATATTCTAAAACCATGTAAGTAAGACTCCAAGAAGGGCAGGTACGCCAGTGTTGGCGCCTTAGAGCTGGCGGAGTTGGTGTCAAACATCCAGGCCTCCCGCAGTTCTCGCCCTGTCTTATTGCTGGCCCGCGCTCTCGCGAATTTGAATTCGTAGTCTTCAACCAGGGTGTGGGCGGTGACCTGAGATAACGTGTCGCCTCTCCTGACTGCCCGTGTATGCTCCGTTTTTCGCGAGCTAAGCCGTCGTCCGGTCTGCCCCGTAAAATAACGAGGGCGGTCACGGCATGGGATCTGATAAACGATACCAGACTGCTCTCCTGCGTCTTGTCCGCCATTCCTTTGCGTGATTTTGTTACGCATAACAACGAAACGGCTCATTTAACGCCACATTCTCGCAATCTCTGCTGATAGCCTCCTATACGGGACCGGAAGCTCAGACTGATACATGTACCGTCCTAGTGATCGCGGTTTAATGTTCTTTACAATAAGAACATGGGATTCGAAAATTCTCATCCACACGTAAGCTCGATCTTTTCATGCCAAAGTCCTCTCACAGTTCAGTTTAATTGACGTAATTGCGCCGAATTGTCTGAATAAGTAGCTGGATATAAAATTATTCAGTCAATTTGAAAAGTATTCAGCGAGTACCACTGTGAGTACGCGAGGATAGGCGGACACTGGAATGAGGGATTTCCCATTTGTTTAGCCCGTATTTCCTCCCTACAATAACACGTCGCGAACGACGAAGTCTACTCTGTGGCCCGAGACGTGGTGGAGGCAAAATGATGACTTGCGCCTCAATCAGTTTATAGCGATGGCCGTCTTGCACAGCTCTGCTGCCTCTCTGCTCCTTCACCTACCCCGGCGCGGTGCAAGGCAGAGTCAGATAAATCGGATATTGGATCGGTCGGCGTGATGGACAAAGACAAAGAGTCCGTGTACGCCTGCCACATGCGGGTCCTGTACAAATGCGACGCACTACCTTTTTACATAAATGGGAAGTGGTCAACCCGAATGGCAAGTGAACGCGAATGGCAAAGAGGTCACGTTCAAAAGGACCTACTGCAGCCTGTCCGCCCGTCTTGAAAAGATGACCGACCTTTTCCGCCAGTTGGCGGCCTTCCAAGACATGTCTTTTAGCCCAATGGGATAGTCCGAGAGAGCTTCAGCTTGTGTACAGGGAGAATACGCAGTAAGTCGATGTTACTCGCTCTTTTCCGTCTCTCTCCCACGCAAAAGATGCGCTGTCTAGATCGGGTAACCGTCTGATAAGTGACAGCGAGTCGAAATGACAACCGAATAAAGAATCAAAATCATCAAACATTTGTCGTGGTCTGTTCAAAAAATGGATTAATGACGAAAGTCAAGAATCCTGGAGTGAGGGTATGGTTTATACCCGGGGTATGCCTAATAATATGCAAGATTGCCTACTGAATTTACTGAAGTAGGTGTTGCTCGATTGCGTTTTTCCTGTGCGCCACTTAGGCCTGTGTTATTGACCGTGCAAACAAACGCTCCGAGAATCAGGCACTGAAGGAATGTCTATATAGACTCATTATTGAACTCCTCACCCTGGACGTGTTAAATGTTACACGTAAGTTTGTCCGCAATCAACGGTATATCAAAGGCTGAGTATTTTGGGTTTACCTTATACACATGAAACTTTTTACAACTGTGATAACTGGCTATTGTTTGCAATTTCCCTCGCGCTTAAGAGTTGCTCGACCGCTTCATGGGATACACCTCCGCCATGTGGAACAGGAAGGTTTAGGCCAGCGGCATTTGTTCCAAACCATAGACGATATTGAATCACGTCAATGTGAGCCCACACAGCTCGGTCTGACGCAGGACCTCAATCACCTGACCTTTTTCTTTGTCTTAGCAATATTGCACCACCTTATCGGAATTAAGTATTTCCATAATCTCCTCAACTTCCGTTCGCGTGTCCCTCTAAGTCCGTTTGAGATTTACAGTTTGTTCAAGCGGTGGTCTGCTTTAAAAAATGAATTATTTTACATTTTATCGTTATTTCCTACCACTGAAAATACCATCTATTTGCAGATATTGATGCTTATATCTACACGGACAGACGGTTTTTATATGTTTCAATATTCATGTTGTGAATTTGTTTTCGTTTTGAAGTCTTTGTTATAAAGTATGACTTAGTTCCATTAGATATACCTATATATCTATTTGTGAGGCATGCCTCTTCGCATTACCACACTTGTCTTTTCTTTTTACTCTTTCATACTGGCATTTGTGTTACCTTGTTAGACTTCCTTCTAGTTCTTCATTTTGCTTTTTCTGTAAATTCTTGACAATTATTGCAGCTCATAGCATAGCTAACAATCTGCGCTATTTTTAAGCTCGATTACCGCCTGCGGCCAACTCCCATTGGCCGCCCTTTCCCTTAGAACCTGAGCTGCAGTAATTTAGTTGATGTCAGATTATTCAGTCGCCTAAATTTCCCTGACAACTGTTTTTGGTTACTTTTCAAAGTAATGCGCCTACTTACCATTTAAGTCAGCGCATTATAAGGCTTTCGATGGTATTTTAATTTTTTTTCATTTTTGTTTTTCGAATCACTTTTGTTTGCGTATAAAGGCCCCATCCGTATAACCCCTGTCATCACCATTCCCGTCAGACAGGCTCCTTGGCTTATCTGTTGCTGACCCAGGGTACAAACCTCACCCTTGCCAATCCTGATTTCTGGTCGCGTAAATGCACTTTTTCTTGCATCAAGGTCTCACTTGCACGGAGTACCTGCAGCAGTACCTCCAGGTTGCCCCTCGTCGAACCAGGACATGTGATAAAATCTTTCGGAAATTCGCTGACACAGGGATACTGCCAAAAGAGGTACGTTTTCGCCAAACATTTTGTTTAAAAACAATTATATGCAGGGGTAGGCATCTGCACTCATAAATGCAGATGTAAGAAATCTTTTTACAACACTGGTACGCAGATGATTGCTGCGCGTCAAGTCTCGCTCAAGGTATGACAGCTTGATCGCTATTTGAAAAAAAAACAAGTGGCGTGTGATGCATCTTGACTCGGGAAGCTAAACTGTCCACACACAGGGATGTGGTTCAGGGCGGGGATAACAGAAACGAGCGGGGTTTCGTGGCTGTCAACGCTCATCGGCAAACCTTAGACTGCTCAAAATGCGAAGTGCCGAGCTCTTGATCCGAGGTCATGACCTTGGGCAACTCGAAAACCTTTAATCGCTAGCCACTGTAGGGTCGACTTGTCGCTACATGCCTTTCATAAACAATGAACAATCTCAACGATTGTAGTTTTCTGTTAGATACAAAATGGTAGTTTGCCGATTTGGCTATTATCAAGCTGTGCACCACTCGCGTGTGGCTGTACCCTTACGACATGCGAAATTTTTTCTTGATTGTTCCACCTCGAGGGAGAACACTTAACCTTTGTTTCACAGTCACTAAATTTCATTGATATCGCATGTCTGTGTCAGCATAAGAAATTAAATCCTATGTGGTTAACATGAGCGATCACAGCGTTGCAACTTGACCAAAAACTCTCGTTAGGCTTGACTAAACTTATCACCTTTGAGCATCTAAGCGAAGTCACATTGTCAGAGGGAATGTAGCTCATGTTCGCTTTCCTTAAAAGTAAACACAACGAACTTGATAAGTTCTACGAATATTCCCATGTTACACTCGAAAAGTCAAATTGGCAAACACGCATTTTCGGTATCTCATCATCAGACCTATATAATTGTACATAAAATGAAAATATGAGAAGATCACAGGGTTTATAAACGACTCAGGATCTATAAATACTCATCATTCCCACCACACCCCGCACGACTAGTTCGAGTGTTATGCTCACTGGAGCAAGTGGGTGGGGTTGGAATAGGCTGTGAGCAATATTTGTAAGTCGGGTACGTTGAGTATACATCACTGCCATCAGGGGGTTGGGATGGCATGCAATAACCATATGGGGTCGGCGTTGGTCACGAAAGGCATAGCGTCTGCTTCAGCATCTACTGACAACATATCCCTGGATTCGATAGCCGTATAGCCACTGGCACGACTGTGGCTATCAACTATTGTCGTAGACCTCTGATGAACTCTGCTGGTGTCCGCTAGACAAACTAAAAGGCCTCTTTACCATCGACTCAGTGATTCGTATTGACAAGATGTGCAGGGATAGAACTCGAAATTAATCTGTTTTCGCCTCTGCCTAACCATGCCAGTCTGTGTTCACGTACTCTCTTTTTAGGCGTTTCGTTGTACGGTCAATGTATCTCGCTCGACAGCAGCAAGTGAGTGAGTAAATATACATCGATGTGTCGCTTTTTAATTTAACCAGAAATTAAGTACGAACTTGGAGTAGATTAGTGCATTTAAGGTCCATATGCCCAGACCGAGGTTTTCATGCATGAGAATTTGAACCGAAATCCATTAGCCACAGCGGATAATCGCGTAATATTTATTAACTGCCGACAGGCAGCTAGTAGTATACTTTAGGGTAAGGTGATATCATACTAACAGGGCGGGCGCTAACCAAAATCCCATACACACGGGTTTCGCCGATATTCTGCCGCTGCATGACAGAGCTGTGAGGGTTTCGGCTCGTCAGTGGGTTCCCCAGCGTTTCCCGTCTCGTTTCTGGTAGATAATCCAATTGGGAAATCGTTGCTTTTTAATGTCCTCAGAAAGTAACTACGAACTTGGAGTAGATCAGTTTATTCAGGGTCCATAGACTTAGACTTTAGCTTACGCTACCAACCTTAAAAGCTGCGGCTCCGTCTGGTTCGGTTTTTCCGCGCTAATGTGAAAGAGGGACGATGGTGGCATGCAAAGCACCTCCATTCGCCGTCGACTGCTGATTTCAGTGTTCACAAAGTGTGTAAGAGTGGGGTTTTATGTTACCAACAACGATGAATGCATTACATTATCTGCTTTACCGTACTGGTAACAATCGAGAGATGGCACCCAAGAAAATCCGCCTAACCGAAACAGCCTGTCTTACGGGACAGGTAGTAATAGGGGTTTTATGGGTGATGGCTGATGGGATGTACGCTACTAGTCGACAGAAAGCCTTATTTGAACAGGTGAATGATCGAAGTTGGCCGGCTCTCCGTTCCGTTATCGCAAAATGAGTCGCCAAAGGCAGTATAGTGGTAACGGACAAATGGAAGACGTATAATCGCCTTCCCCCAGAAGGTTATCTGCATTCCTCTGTTAACCATTCAAAGGACTTCAAGGACTCTACCACCGGCCGACACACCAATGCCATTAAGGCATACTGGTGTAGACTGAAAAGGAAACTCCACGAGGGAGGCCCTGTGTGCGGTCGAGCTGTGTAGGCTCTTATGCACGAAGTACAGTATCGTCATTGGTTTGGCTTCAATGCCATGTCTTTGACAGATGACTGGGAACTGTTTTTGTCCCATGTTATGCAGACTTATCCTATTTAAAAGTGATTTGTTTGGTAATAAACTGCCATAATGCGAATGTATGCCGTATATTCAGGTGTGCGTGTGTAACGATGGGGAATGTTGGGTAACAGCGACCATCGTCCATGTAACCTCCTGCGATGTTCTTTCGGCCAGCCCATGTTAGGCGGTCGGGGAAAGTATAAGTAGTGCGTAAATGTAGGCCTGCAACCGTTGATATAGCCGGAAGGCGTTTGAGGCAACAGTTAAAGGCATTATTTCTAGGTAACGGATTTTTTTGGGTGTCATCTCCCGATTGTTACCACCGTTATTCCTCCTCGTGTGTGTCTGCATTCGCCCATCAAGTTCGTAGAGGGAGTTTGTTCGACAGGAACCAAAACGGACCCGACATACAATATCCGAGATCGCGACCTTTCGCTCCCATTATTTATCACCACACCGTTGCTTCAGGTAAATCAGCATCGTCAGAGGTGAGCTCACAGACAGAAGGCTTGAAAGGTAAAAACCAGGTACGTTGCAGGCCACATCGATGTTTGTCTACTCACTCACTTGCCCCTGTGGAGCGAGATGTATTGACCGCACAACGAGACACCTAAAAAGAGAGTTCGTGAACACATACCGGTCTAACTAGGCAGAGACGAAAATAGATTAATTCCGAGTTCTATTCCCGCACATCTTGTCGATACGAATGACTGAGTCGATGCCAAAGAGGCCTTTTAGGTTGTCTACCGGACACCAACAAACCTCCTCAGAGGCCTACGCCAACAGATGCTAGCTACAGTTTTACCAGTGGCTATACGGCAAGCGAATCAAGTGATATGTTGTCAGTGGATGTGGAATCAGGCGCTCAGTTTTCTGTGACCAACGCCGACCCCATATGATTATTGCATGCCATCCCGACCCCCTGATGGCAGTGATGTATACTCCACGTACCCGACTTACAAGCATTGCCCACAGCCCATGTCAACCTCTCCCCCTCGCCCCAATGATTATAACACGGCGAACTAGTTGTTCGGGGTGGGGCGGGGATAATGATAATTTATAGCCCCTGAGTCGTTTATAAACCTTGCGGTCTTCTCATGTTTTCGATTTTTATGCAATTGTACAAACCGAAAACGCGTGTTTGCGCATTTGACTTTTCATTTCGATGATTTTTGATGAAATAACGAATAATTTTGGGTTTTAGTCACTTTGCCGTATGGGCTAAGAAATTCGGGAACGGGCATATGACGGTTGTTTTCTGGCTGCGTGTATTTCATATTTCGTATTCAGGTGGACTTGCACACCGTGTTGTATTGCAGCTGCTTCCATTCTTTTGCGACGATTTCGATGAGACTTGACAAATGAGGGGAGAATTCGCGATGTCGAGTCCTACAAATCGATTAAGAAGGTTTCAATATTAGATCAGGGAAGCGAACAGATCGCCGAATCAGGTTATGATGTTTGGAGAGACTGCGCCAACCGAGGTGGGTTTTTGGATCGCTGAGCATGTGCATGTACTAATCGGTGTTAACACACTCTCGATCGATGAGTTTCGTTCATTAATCCGTAGCGTTACTCTCAAGGGAACCTTCCAATCGTTGCTTGGAAGCAGTCCTTTAACCAGCCGATGGGATTCATGACCTCAAAAATACTGGAAAAGTAAAATAATATACGAATCGACATTCCGACCTTTATTTCTGGCATTAGCTGCCGATTGCTTCATAGAACCGTTGGAGTAAGGACGGTGACTTGCGCGCAAATTGTCTTTTAGTGATAGCAGACTTGCACTTTATCTACCGCACTCTGTACTCTCCCCCACCATGGCGCAGTATCATGATAGAGTCAAGAAGGTCAGAGGCGAGAGAGGGCGCAGATGACGTGCATGGCAAAAACTCGCATCTAGGTGCACTGTCTCACCCCCTGGTTCACAAAGTTCACTCATCAACAAGAAAAGAAGGGGGAGTGACTTGGATCCCAAATTGCGCGATGTCAGCCTGAACCTAGGCGTTCCTCCATACTCCAATATTGGCATTTTTTATGGGTGCCCATCCCGAATAACGCCTACCGGACCCCGATCTCTTTCTCGCGCTGTTCCAGCGTATCTAACTAACAAATCTCATCTAAACAAATTCGGCAAATTAGCATGGGAAATTCTGGCAGCCAAAACAGTTAGCACGGATATAATACAGCATGAATCACCATCAAAAACTGTAAAGGAGGACAGCATCTTTACCCAAAAGTTTTTCAGCCTTGGTCAGTGAAGTGACAAAAACTTGTTCAACGTCCTCTTTACGCCAACGGAAGGTCCAGCAAATGGATCATAAGCACTTCATCTTAACTATATACGGGATCGTACTGGACGCGCCGGTCTTTTCTAACCAGCAGGTCGGGAGATCGCTTCCAAGGTGTTGCACGACTGGAGATTTGGTATGACTGGCTGACGACGGTTAGTAGCCAGAAATGATAATTCCAGTCTCTCTTGTTTGTGTCGGTAATGTTCTCCTCTATATGTGTATATAACTGGAATATAAGTTGATATCAAGTAAGTTGTTTAGAAAAGCAAAATATATACCCAAAGTTGCCGTTAGAAATGCAGCGAATTTCGAAAACAACTAACATTCTCAGTTTGCCTAAAACATTATCGATTACTGCGACTTGGCATCGCTGAGAGTTTGTGCCAAACGGTATTTGCCATCGCCTCTGATCTTCATGCATGCGTGAATGAACGGATGTCCGATTTAACATGGTGCGGTTCGAATGCTGCGATTTCAATGCGCGGTTGCGTGTTACTGGTAGGTTGCGGAGCGGTTATTACGCCGGCGGACTGTCTCTCGAGCGTTCAGGCAGACTTTCCGTAGTAACCGAAAAAGCCTGTCAAAAGATCGTTACGCTAAGCTAACACTGTATGTCGATGAGCCAAACTGTCGCCGCTCTAATGCCTCACCTGCTCCCAATCTCCTTTAGAAACTGTATGAGGCACTTTCTGAACTGACAATGCATCAGCTAGCGAAATCGCCTTTGGAGTTAATTTTGAACCTGATTGGCCTCACGTTTGACGAACTGCCACCCATTGACTTCGATTTTTGGAAAGGATTCTGTGCCGTTGCCGACCGCCTCCTCTTTTCCAGGCTCTTGTGAGTTTTAAATTACTCTTTGCCCCCTGTATGTGCTGAGGATGCGGAAAATTGAGATTACTTGCCCCTTTTTATTTTTTGCAGACAACGGGACAAGAAAATGCTGACTTCAAAGGGAACCTTAGAAACGGCCGACTTCGCAACGGCATTCAGGCAGTTTGATGAGCTGAATCTCACTCCCGAACTGGCCGCTCTTCTTCGCATCATTTAGGCAGATGAGAGATGGAATAGAACCTTGCTGGTCGCATGGGACTGTTTTTCTGGTTTTTATACGTGCAGGGAATTAAAAACTCCGAATATTTGCATACGACAGCCCTACTACCCACGCATGCGACAAAGTTTCTGACTATTCGACGTTGGAAGGGCAAACACTACTGTGGAGTGCGCTCACCGACCGCGTTACGGAGGGAGTCGCACAGCGACTAATAGTATGAACAGAAGGAGATTATCGACAAAGGCAGGGGAGACTGGAATGATCAGTTCTGGGGATGCCTAAAGCCTGTACCGCGATTTTTGGTTATTGTTCCAACTTCCCAATCATTGAACCATGGGCTCTTTGTCCTGTCTCTTGCGACTGGATGTAGCAGCCGTGGTGGAGGGGAGCTTACCGATCGCGTTACGGGACGTACTCTTTCAGTTTAATTGGGGTCTCAATGCCGACTTCCGTATGCAGTCGCACAGCAAGCCTCGGATGAGGACTAACAAGCCAGAAATGGCCATCCAAGTCTTTATTGTCAGCATATATCATTAAGTAAAACTCTGCCAGATGCCGAAAAAGTCTCCCACTGACAACACAGGGGGTTAGTAAAACCAGTATGTGTCGAAGATTTCAACGAATCGCTGGGATTAATTGCTGATATTTCTACAACGAACGTGGGCCGCACCGCCATTGCCCTGTTCAAAGATTGTGACATCGAATGACCCGATTTCATGCGCGGCTAGACAACGAATGGCCTAATGGCGTACCTACTCGAATTGGTAACTGCACTCATCAGAGCTCACTTAGAAGCTTTACTTTGTACGGCTGCCGTATGATAAGCGATTCTTCGGTGTTACAGTCCGTTAGCGGCCAACACCCTGAGTGGCCTCCCTCCTATCTGACTTAACGAACCTTCCTAACGGGGGACAGTCACGGCGGGGGACCATCGGGGCCGTCACCTATCTCCGCGGCCGAGGGCGGGGGGAGGACGATTCAGGTCACGGTGGCATGCGGTTCGGATGCAGCCACATAGGCAGCATTGGCGAGCCACGCATCAAACAAAGTGGGTCATTAAGGGAAAGCTGGGTGTATGACTTTCCAGTCTCTGAAGATGGGTAGTCAAAGTAATTCTTCGAAACGTCAGACTGCGAATAAAACTCCTCCCGGTAAACGCCTCCTCTTATTTTAAAATGAATAAATGCCGAAGGGATCGAGAATTTCTGATATCCGTTCAGAAGGGTCGTGTTGATGAAGATCCACATGTTTATTTCTTGTCGATTTCAGAGAACTTAACAACTTTGGAGGAAAAATTTCAGTGGCTGTCTGATCCCAGTCCCGATTTTACACCTCCACCTGCCTGTCTTGTAGAACGTGAAACCCGGGTTAGCTGACATTCTTCGCTTGCTCAGGGCTTTCGCTGTCCGCTCTGACCGTTCACTGGCCGCTGGATAGGATAAACTCATCTTCATTTTGGAAGAAGCCATTTTCGTGGCCGTTGCGTCTGTCCGAGCCTCGAGTCCTTGCCTTTCTACAGAGAGGCTCGTCGGAACAGGAAGCTCCTCGGCTTAGTCAAGCTCAGCGACAACGATCGAGTGAAGGCTCCCAAGTACCATCTGCTGGCCGCACCCGTGTTTCCTACGGGACTGGTGGTACTAGGGGTTTTATAAGTGGGGCATATAGGCCGTATGTGAAAGTCCGAAAGCACGAAGGTAACGGTAATTAATTTTAAGTGCGATTTACAATTGCCTAAAAGTAAACGCATAGCAACGAACTCGAAGTGTGACATGTAAAAAAGTAGACAATGAGAAGCATGTCAATGGTAAACCCAGTTAAGTTAACCGCCAGTGCATAGATTGCTTTAGGGCAGAACCAAGGCAAATCCAGCCAATGCGAATGAAAGGTAATTGGTGAAGGGGAGCCCGTCGCACTTAAATTTCGTGAACGCTATGGCAATGTCCCTTAATGTTATGCCAGCGATACCCAACCAATGAGGTTCTCAGAATCGAAATAGGCACATGCAAGTAATAACTGGACTGAGTCATTTATCCTGTCTAATATTAGCTTATGAATGTAATAAAGGTATAATGGTTTTTGACTATTAAGCCCGAGAAAGAGAGGATTAAAAGGCGTCCTCTGTCTAAGACATGGCTTCACAGTACGCTATTATTTTATTCACTATTGCAGGTCATCGTCGGCGAGAGCCAAAAGAAATAGTCGTAATTGCACACAGAACCGCAGGCAGAGTGAAGGAATCATCAAATAAATAAATGCGGACAACATAATCGATTACTGCCAAGGTAAACGGCTTCTGTCGACGACACTAACGTGTAAATGTAAGAACCAAATGAAGCAGCAAATACGCCGGCGTTTTGTTTTACGATGTGTCCGGTGGTGAGCAAGCTGGTCTCTGAGAAGCGATTCCATACTTGAGAACAGTCGCCTGACGACATAAGCATAGGTTTGAAGATATAATTGTGCTTTCTAAGAGTGATTCGAGTGAAGGAATGCGAAAAGGATTTAGGCGCGACACCACACTCACTTCCGACGAAAGAAGTTTGCATGCTTTTGAAACGTCAGGACAGTAAAACTATGATTCCCGAGATCGCCTTTTCTTTCCATTTATGTCCGGGGACGCGCATCTTCGCTTCCATTAACAATATATATATATAGCAGCGAGGAGGGACGACAGAGAATGCGGGTAGATTGATACAGCACTGTTTCGGGCTTATTCTGCCTTCATTCAGCCAATCATAACCCTGACCACCAGCAGCTGAGACCAGAAACACAAACATGCGCACAGACGCACCTGGCGCAGTCGGTCCACCACTGAGGCCTACCAGATGGGTCATAAGCACTTCATCGAACCGAAGTTCATCAGTGCCTCGCCACCTGTCATTCTCTGTCGCTGCAGATCGGGTATTTATTAATCAGGAATGGGCGCACACCGATCTATTGGCTTCACAAAGCAAACAAGCTCCGTATGTGTGGCAAAGGTCACGAACAGGCAACCAATTACCAGGCCGAAGTCGGCCAAGTCATAATAGCAGCGAGGAGGGACGACAGTGGTGGACCGACTGCGCCAGGTGCGCCTGTGCGCATGCTTGTGTTTCTGGTCTCAGCTGCTGGTGGTCAGGGTTATGATTGGCTGAATGAAGGCAGAATAAGCCCGAAAAAGTGCTGTATCAATCTACCCACATTCTCTGTCGTCCCTCCTCGCTGCTATTATGACTTGGCCGAATTCGGCCTGGTAATTGGTTGCCTGTTCGTGACCTTTGCCACACATACGGAGCTTGTTTGCTTTGTGAAGCCAATAGATCGGTGTGCGCCCATTCCTGATTAATATATATATATATGTAGTTCAGATGGGGTATGCATTCCGAGTTGATATAATGAAAAGTAGAAGTGGTTCTTCGGAAAAATCGAGTTTTACTCGTGAATTTTCGAGCTGGTGACACCAACCCGTCGTCAGACGAAATGAAAACGAGGGAGAAAGTTATGTTGTCACAGTAGACCAGTTAGCGTGATAGGACAGAACAGACCACTGACGTGTGAGGGGGGGGGGTGGTTGGGTGGGCTCCCGAGGTCATGGTAGGTCACTGAGTGAGGGGCGGGGAAAGGGAGAGGAGGCGGAACAATTACGGCACGCCGTGCTGAAGGGGGAGGGCGGGTGGTGAATCAGTTGGAATGCGGGCGGCTGTATTCGCGGTCGTTGATGCGTGATTAGGGCAGGGGGCAGTCATGCGTGAACGTAGACCCTCGTAATGGGCATCTAAATCAACGTGGCGGTTGATACTACCCGCATCGGAGTACCAAGCCTCGAGAAATTCCCTCGCTCGCTTTGTGTTAGCCATGGCGACGACCTCGGTGCCATCCCAATTGAATC